AAGCTGAGATCTCGCATATCAAAAAACCCTGGGCCCGCCACTGTGTACGACATATGAATCAAGAACTGTCGTTTACTCGTTGCACTGCGGAAGAAAAGAACTTGTCAAGGCTATTTTTCTTCCTAATCACTCTCTGTCATTCTTTCGTTTCTGATCACTATTCTTCTTTTGTTCGTTGTCATATGAATACGATCTTCATTGAATCATGGGTAGTTTCTAATAACTAGCATGTTTTATATACATTCTCTCTCTTTCTCTGGTTTTTTTCTCTCTTGAATTTTTAATTCATCATCTTCAATTATCAAGCGAATAAGATTCAAAGAATAAAAAGAAAAAAAAAAAGAAGAGATGAACTCACATACAACGATAGCTTTTACGCATATACATGCCAACTATAGATTGAATTATTAGAACTAGTATATTTGTTGTCATGAAGGAATATGTTTTTTTTTCTTCCTTTCATTTTTATGATCTAATTTAAGAGTTGTACACGTCTATGTGAATTTTACCGTACCTTCTCACACATTTATAATCAAGTAAAAAAAATTATTAATATTGAATTTCGTATTTACATTATCAATATGTTGTAGCAAATTGTTACTATATACATTTTGAAAACGTACTTAGCTACGTGTACAGAACTATAAAAGCTTTACATATTGTGTTACTTTCAACTAGAATTCAACGAATAATACAACCAAAAAAACTGAACGTATGTATAGATATAAAGCACTTGTAATATATTTTTTTCTTTATTTAAATCTAAAAACAGAAACTGAAAAATGGCTCGATTACCACCCGATAGTTTTAGTCAAACAATTGCTTTTATTGCAGTTGCTTTTGGTGTAATAGCTTTAATACTTGCTTGTGTTGGTATTGGTACACCGAGATGGTATTCATTGTATGTTTCTACTGGTACTGGAACTTATGCAAAAACTAATAGCGCTAACTTTTTCTATACATGTGATGTTTCGACAAGCGGTGTAACAAACAATTGTACAAATCGTGATAGCAGTCTCTATGGTTATCCAGGATATAGTTCATCAAATGCATGGATGACTGATTATAATCAACGTATGCAGAATGCCGGTTCTCTATGTATTGTCGGTATTCTCTTTCTTGCTTTTGGTACAGTAGCAACATTGATTATGGCACTTCGTTACTTTCATGCATGGGCTACTTCTATTCCACCAGCATTATTCTTTCTTGCTTGTCTTTTTATGCTTGCAGGCATGGCTGAAGGTGCCCGTTATCTTATTTATAATGATTATTCAGCTAATTTGTATCAAACAGCTCATTTACTTACTATGTTTGCTCTTGCTTTAACTGCTTTTGCTGCTGGTCGTATTCATTTCTCACGTCGAACAGAAGCCGGTCACAATGCTACTCATAATATTGCATAAGATACATTCACTGAACTCTATGTTATTTTGTTCGTTTTGTTTGTTGTATTCTTATACATGCATGATTAGTTTTTTCAATAAACTTGATTCATTAAATATGTGTTTTGATCTTCAATGAAAAATTAAACGCATATGTCATACTAGATTGATGTTCATATACAATGCTTTTATGTTCACTGTGTGAACTCGTTATACTTCACTAGTCCTTTTCATGCAGCTCTATCTTTGTGTAACGCACAGCGTTGACCCTTTTGGATCACGTGTCCGAGTTCTTTAACTTGTTCTATGGTACGCACGTTATTGAGAAAGAGAGATGAAAAATACTTGATAGAGTCGAGGAAAAGTTCAAAAAAAGAACAGAGCAAAACAAAAAAAAAGAAACTAATTAATAAACAGAACGATAAAAAAAGGCGATCATGATCTAGAAAATGAGACGAAGTTTATTGTTCTTTCTTCAAGGTTGAAATAGCAATTCAATATAATCAATAAATCAAATAGTCTGATCAGTATTTTTTTTTTCATATAAAAAGATTACAAGTGTTACATAATAATTTTTGATTCTATGGCATTGTAATAGATCCTATCCATTGCTTTTTGTCAAGTCTCTTAAATAGAAATCTTATATTTTTAAAATTAATTTTTCATTGTTCTTAAACAATTATATTTCATTTTATAGGAAACAGACAGATTTTAATTACGAAGTTGAAAGAAATATTTTTGAATAATAACGAATGAGACAAAAGATATTGATAGAATTTTCCAATGAATAACAATTATCATTAGCTTTGAAATAATTGAAAGAAATACAATTCGAAATGAAAACATCATATTTTATAAAAAATACCAAATTATATGTTAAAAAGAATGATACAATCATATATTCAATTGTAATCAATAAATCGTCTAAAAAATATTTGAATAGTTTGTTATTAAGAAAAATATATCCAGATTTTTTTTAGTCTTTTAATAGATAAACTCAAACTTGGATAGAAAAATAAAACCAGATGAGAATATAAAAATAAATTCAACATTTAATGATCGATATAACGGATAGTACATATTCTAGTTAGACACAATATGTTTACAATAGATATAATAACATGCTATAACTTAAATTTTCTCATATTTAAACTAATGAATGAAAAAAGATTTACCAGCCAATCGTACTAAAATATTTACTAGATTATTCATCAAAACAATGTCAGGAGTTTTTTTTTCACTAAGACTAATATTTATTCTATCGAGTGTCGACTAAAATGTATCATTGATTATTAAAATAATGATCAATCATACTATCTACTACAGTATAACAGATAGAACAGTAAAATTGAATAATTTTTCTATTTGTCTGTGTACAATTGTAATGTGTTCTAATTTCAAGAAATGTTTTTAAAAAAAAAACTCATCTGTTTTAAATTACATCTGCTTCTTTTTTCTTCTTATCAACATATAAAAAAAAAGGAAAACAAAAAGTTAATATGAAATTGTTCGTCATCGATATGTTGTTTCTAATAAACAGCGTCGTTATGACACTTTTTATATCGATGATCTTCATATCATTTTATCAAGTATGTAATTTATTTTTAAAATTTTATTATTGAAATATATTTATTTTATAGTTTATTATGATATATGGTCAAGATATTGATGAAAATCCCATGAATGATAATATATTTGGTTTATCTTCTAGTAATGATGATTGGTTCTCAGGTTAGAAAATTAACTTTCATATAAAAAATAAATTTTTTGTTGTTCTTTTTTTTTTTATTTAGAAGATTTTACAAATAGATTAAATGATTTTGCTCCGGGTAATACTGTTTCATTTGCAAATCTAGCAAATATTATAACAGATAGTCGAACAGCAACTGATGCATATGAAGTACAATTTAGTCCTCGTATAACGGATTTTTTTGATAGTCAAATATTAATTGGACAACTGAGTAATATAAATCAAATAGTTAATGTACAAATGAGTTTTCATAATGATGATGGTGATATTATACGTGATAAATTTGGTAATCCAATTGCATATACATCAAATCGTCAAGATCTTGGACATGTTCTAGACATATTACATCCAGAAATTCCTTTTTCTTATATTAGATGTCTTTTAAGATTACAACCAAATTCAAATTTTGATCCACATAGTCTTTTTTTTCATTTTGCACAACGATCTCCATTAGGAAAACCAACAAGTGAGAAATAATAAAAAAGATCTATAATATTAAAAATTTGTAGATTCATTTTAGATGACACATATGTAATCACGGGTCCAACTTCATTTTCTATTGATACAAATCAACAAATATATAATGTATCTGCAAATTGTCCATTGGGATTAACTTGTATGTGGTTATTAGATAATGAAGTTATATCAGGCACACCCAATACTACTGTTGGATTAGTATTTAGCCCGAGACATGTTGGCAATCGAACATTAACGTATGTCGGATATTCTGCAAATAATCCTCAAATATTAGCATCACTTCAACTTTCTATTTTACCTAGTTCAAGTCCAGGTAAAGTTTTAAGTTTAATGAATTTTAGTATTGTAGATGAAACTTTAGAATATACTATGTCCTAATTTAAAAACTTGTTAGAAGTATGAAAAACAAACTACGAAAATAATCAATAAACCATATAAAATATAATCATATTTGCTTGGTTTAACAAAGCTATAATAATTTCTATGAAAAAAATGAGAGAATTCCTCTGAGTCAAACTATATGAAAAGTTTCCGTTGCACATCTCCATCTCAAGTTTAGAAAATCAAAATACCGCAAGCATGGTCAGAAAATGTGTTTTTCCTTGCGATTGTGAAAACGTTATCTGCATTCCTAGTTTGTTCCGTTTGAGAGTTATAAATCGTTTTCTGAATCCTTCGACTTTAGCCAATTGATCTGTATTCATCTGAAAAAGCAGTTTATCAGAGGTAATTTCATCGTGCTGAATCGAATGGTAATGTTTGTTTATAGCTTTGAACTGATCTAGCATTTTGAACTTACTATTTCTAAAATTTGACAATTAGCATGTATGTAACGAAAGGAATTACTTGAGAAGTGATGCTCTTGTTCGACGTAGTTCATCGTATTTAAATGAAAACTATTCATGATAAATAAAGCTTTATATGTTCATTAATTACTCTTTCAACATAACAATTATCTTATTCATCGAACAAAAAAAAATCTACTTCTCATTTAGATTGTAGTCCATTACCGAGAGCTCCACGAAATATTTGGTTACAAGCTCGTCCTATGAGTACTCCACGTGTATACTTCACAATGACATATCTTTCACAAAGTGGTTATTTGATGATGGCTGGTGGATCAACTGATGGTTCAACTGGATTATCATTGGTTGATATTTATAATCCATTGACTGGTTGCTACAATGTATTAAATATGAGCTCTCCACGAATGCGACATAAAGCAACATATTATAATAATTCTGATGCAGTTCTTCTTATTGGAGGTGTTCGAAAAAATAATGATGTTATTTCAGCATCTGAAATTATTTCCATTAATGCTACACAAGTTCATTATCCAATGACTCAACCACGATATTTTCATGAAATGCATATTCTTAATAATTCGAATATTCTCATCGTTTCTGGTCAAGGATTGATTAATAATTTAATACCCTTAGAAATGTACGATCGTGCTTCATCTACATTTCAAACATTGGCACCATTTCATTCGCGATTACAAAATCTTGAAGGTCATTCAGTAACATCTCTTGGTAGTACAGGAAATCTTTTGATTTTCGGTGGTTTCAATGGCAGTTCATATTCCGGAGTAGGTTTGATATATAATGGAACTAATTTAACATCAGCTGGACCGTTCAATATCACAGCATTGGACACTATTAATGACATACCCGGACGTGCTCATCATCAAGCAACATATATACCACTAATAAATGCAGTGTTAATCACTGGTGGTGATAATGGTACACATGCATTGTCTGATGCGTATTTATACGATATAGTTAATCGAAATTTTACTGCTACTGCTTCTATGGGAATTCCTCGTTCGTTTCATAAAGCTACTCTACATTCAAATGGGTCAGTAATTATAACCGGTGGAGCTGTAGGAATGTCCGGTAATCAACCGATAACTCCAACAAATTCAGTAGAGATGTACAATCCATCAACCAGAACGTTTACCAGTGCACCTCTTTTAAATGTTGCACGATATCGACACCAGGCTGCTTTATTTGAAGATGAAGTTTTTGTTTCTGGTGGTATAGGTTCTGATGGTAGAACATTATCTAGTAATGAATATCTAATATTTTAGCCTTAACACAAAATAAAAAAATACTTGAATATTAATATTTATATTCTGTTTATTGTTTTGTTTAATTAAAGTTCGATTTTTTTTCTTATTTAAGTTAATCAAAAAACGTCTTCGAAATGGTACATTGAAAAATGTTTAGTTTGAATTTTAAAAATGATGAAAAAGGAAATGACATATTTGATATTGTAATCTTATTCATGAAAATAGAATGAAGTATTAATATTCTGATATATTTTTGTCCTATTCAATTTTCAGATATTTTCATCATCAATTTATTTCATAAAGGGATTAATTTAGTAAACTTTTTTCAAATTACTATCAAACGATACTTATCTGTTGAAAGAAGATGTCTTTGATTATAATATCATTACCTAATGGACATGTGCAAGATCAAGTATTGTTGATTCCCGTGTAGATAGCTTCTTTTCGAGTAGTCATACCGAATCTGGTATGTTCCTAGTCTCAGTCTCACACGTATCTACTCAAATGCAATAATTGTTGAAAAGCTAGATTAAATCATGTTTTTGAAATAAAAATTTAGCTTATTTACAATGATTTTGTTAAGTAAATCAGAAGAGCTAGCTTCTTCATCATTTATTTCAAGTAAACTTATATCATGAAAAGATTTCTGACACTCATATTCACCAACGGAAAAAAAGACAATAGGTTGTGATCCTAAAAAATAAAACAGACAATTGACATTGTTACTTTTTTTTTTTATTAAAATGATTACATGAAGAAAATCGTTTAAAATAATATCAGTCATATGTTGCTGTTTTTCAGTCGATAGATGACAATAATTATTCAATATATAATGCAGATAATTTGAGATTTTTTGTTTTCGAGTTTAATGATACTAAAAATTTACATTGTGCATTTGATAATTTCTCTATCGTAAGAGATTTATTATCTTAAATTAATTCATCTATAAATTGTCGATATTGTTGAGAATGTAAAGCAATTCATTGAACATTTGTGTCAATAAAAAATATTTTATCGATTTGATTCATTAATTGATTAACTCTTTCGAATTGAGTTGAATTATTTTATAATTATAAAATGAACTCGTTGAAGACTGTTCATCAATTTTAAATGCTGATTGAATTTTTGTTGATGAAGAAAGAGATTCAGTAAAAAAATGAACTAATAAATGAATCCATTTGTGGTGAACGCCAAAATTTATCTAGACATAACCATTATGCACTATTCAATTCATCCAACATTGATATTTCATAAGCTTTAAGAGTATCATCCTTTGAATAATATCTAAATTAAAAATTAAATTAAATTAACATTTTGTTTTTTGATTATATTAAAAAAAATAAATGATTGTATCACTTTGCAGATATCTCTCTGACTTATTCAATTTTATGAAATACTTCAAAATTTTCAATTCTCTTGATTAATCTTTAAATTAAATAGCTCATCATTTATGTTCAATAGATGACATTTAAAACAAAAGTAATTTTTGTTTTTCAAAATCAAAAGAAAGTTGGTTGTTTTTATATGATTATTATTTGATTAAAAAATTTCCAAAGATAAAACATATACTAAAATCCAATATAGATTCAAATCGGACAAAAACCATCAGTAGTGTTGTACTTAGGCAATCGAATATCTTCTGCTTGATATTTAATCGAGTAGTATGCCAGTGGTTATGACAATAAATGTATGACATTGGATAGTTAGATATTTATCGAGAACAATCATCTCGACAATTTCTATTGTCTTGACATACCTAATAAGTGATAAGTACATATTTAAAATAATGACCTCATTTATTTCTGATTGCAATGATTTGTTTTATAATTGATGTATTCAAAATAAAATATTCTTTACTGTTCAATAATTTTCTTGGCGAATTGTTAAATTATTTCTTTTTGTTGTTTAGTTCGATGATATTCAACAGATTGAAGTAAAAATATTCCATATGAAAAAAATAATTTGTAAAGTATTTATTGATTGCTGTAAATGATTAATAGCAATATCATTAATAGTTTGCAATTGACTCAATATTATTTGGTTAAAATTTCTAAATTAAATTGCATGTCAGATGGTCTTAATTGATCTAAAAAGTTTTCAATAACGACTAATTGTTCATTCATAAATCTTTTTTTAATCTATTCAAGAATCTTTTTAACAAAGTATTCATTGGTTGATATAACAGATTGAAAAAGAAGTGGATATTTTTAAAACGCTGATTAACATCGTCTCAACCTGTTCTTTTTTAAATCAAGATAAAAATTCATCGAAAACTTCTTGTGTCATTAAGTGATAACGATTTAATGATAAATGTTCATATTGCGATAATAAATGAATAGAAAGTAATGTTGTGTATTGTAGATAGATTTGAAATAATCGAAGACTATTTTCATTTTCTTCTTTTAAGAGTGCTTTTTCAATATGTTTTTTTCAATAACAATATCAATTACCCTGTTTTGTTCTCTTTTTAATGTATAAAGTTTGGAATTATGCTTTCGATTTGATAAAATAAATTCAAATGTACGAATTGTATGATTTTATGACCATTTATATATATCACATAAAGCAAGAAATAACTATAAGATTCAAATGAATAATAAATCAAAAAAAAATAAAAAAACTGGTTGATTTGAAGCGAAAATTATTATTAAGTGTATCATTTCTCGTAGAAACTTTAAAAAAAATATATTTTCGTCTCGATTAAATAAATTATTACTAAAAATCTTTTATGTTTTTCTAATTGATTTAAATATTCAATTTGTTAAACAAATTAATTCTTTTTCTTCTTTCCTTGCGAGTAAATCAAATAATATTGCGTTTTCTTGAAAATAATTTTGACAATTTTTCTTAATTATTTCTCTTTTTCATTTAAGTCACCTTATATTAAATGAATAACAATAAGAGATTCATGATGAATTAATTTTGACTGAAATGCTGATGTTGAATCAATTTGTTCAAAACGTTTTAATGCTCATCGAGATAAAAGATCAATTATTTGATCTTTTTTACAAAATGGTACTAAATTTCCATTTATTTTATAATGATCATGATTATTCGATTTAGTTTAATGACAAGCAAAATCATAAAAAATGACGAAGATTTTTGTAAACAATCTACTCGTTGAAGATCTTTCAATATTTTATTTTTTAAACTAAACAAATTAAAAAAGACAAAATTAATATTTGTTTGATCTTTTTTTTTATTTGATTATTTTCAAAAACAAGACCTTACTATCGAGGAAGATTTTTATCATTGATTGATTCAACAGGAAAATTATCAATTGGTTTCCTGATTCTTTCAAACACCATATAACCAATTTAAGACTAAACGATCATCAACAAACTTTGTTGCTATAATAAAACTTCTTAAAAAATTGAGTCTTATCAATATCTTACCACTCCATACAAAACAAGAGAATATATTTTAAGATAAGGGTGTGGGTGTAAAAGGACACTTAACCTATACTTGAACTAAACCATCACACCCAAACCCATATCCACATCCACACCCGTAATGTAACGATTACAATTAAAATATGAGATATGTCGATATGTCATTGACATATTTTCTTGAATTCAATAAACAACAACAATAACAACAACAATCTTTTCTATTTTGCACGATTAAAGAAACAGTTGGTTTAATTCCATAAGTTATATGATGACATAGTTAGATTAATTGATTAGCAGCTACTCAAAACTTCAATAATGATAAATTAAGTTTTTATAGTTAACAAAAAATGTTTATTTTAGTAATATTTATCTGCATACTCAATTTATTATTGAATTATTCTAAAGAGTAAAGTTTTTGAATGGTATTATTTGTCAAATGTTTTCGACGATAACAATCAAAGCAAAGGTTATCAGAAAAATAAACAAATCCTTTTAGCTAAGCGAAATAGGTAGTCCTGCAACTCAACCCGATCTATGAGTGAATGCCGGTTGGACTCTGTTGGATCGGGTTGAATTTTGAAAAATATTCTGTTTTTATCGAGTTCATTTTTAATAACGGAATCTATCACTCTCTATATACTTTTGCACTGTTGATACAAAATCATTGTGCTATGAAGTTATTAGTTCATATTATGTTTAAATAGTTTAGTGATTATGTAAACAATAATACGATCATTGTATAACTTATTGTTCTTCTATAAAGTAGGGACAAATCCATTAGATCACGGATAAATTATCATACTTGCATACTTGATGGTAGATATGTTCTCGGACAAACATAGAAAAGAGTTTTCATTTCAGCACGCTCTATTATAAAACAATAAGTGTTAAAAAATTTTTTTACTTTATGTTTTCGTTTCGAAACGTTTCTATTAATAAAAGACAATACTTACCATTGTAATCATTACATTTAAATCATGTCCTACTCGTTTAGGTTTTCGAGAATTTTAATAAGAGAGCTCTACTATGCTATCATGGTTACTTATTAAATATGAAACTATAACAAATGATATTTTACAATTGCATAATACTATGCGGATTATATTATCTATGTTAATTTTGAAGAGTTGATGATATTCTCTGCAATAATAATTAATTTCGATATTGTTGTAGAACTAATGAGGTTATCTCGATGTGATATTCATATATATTCCATACGTATATAAAAATATCAATTTTTATTGAATACCTATATTTGAAGAACATAGCTAATCGAACATTAATAAACAAGTAAGCTTTTCGAGTTCGACATCTACTGCGTTGGATTAGATCGGATCGAGTACTGCTTCTCAAACGTTGAACCTGCACAGAACTCTAAAATAGAGCAAATAGCAAGACTTAAAAACCTCTAAAATGGCACTGTTTTATTTAGACTTTAATCTGTACCAACGAGAACAGTTAAAAATTGTTGTTGCAATATTGAATTAATCATATTACGTGGTTAAATTGTTTATCAATTTGAAGATATTTTTTTTAAACGTTTCTATATTTGACATATAAACATCAAGTAAAATTTCAAATGAATCGAATAATAATAAAGCAACAAATAATAACATGTTTGCAATT